AATGTAGCACGGGGACTTACAATCATTACATACACGTACATGTAAACTTTCCTTGCAAAATAATTTTGTGCGGAAATTTAGAACAACTGGCTATAGAAATTAATCCATTTAACTATAACAAACGGATTAATATCAGTGAGAACTTAACTCATTTGCAAGAATTGAATAATTAGGGATTAATGTTTGGTATATTTCTCTGACATGTCAAAAGGTATTTTTTGTAAGTTTGCTCTACCATGCGCAAAACTTAATGATCTGTCAAATGAAACAGTTGCAAATGTGCCTGTTTCTTTATCGTTATTATCAAATTATCAATTGAGCGTAACAAATCTTTCAAATTTTGTGAATGTATTTGGGAATGGAAAACAAAGCAAGGTCCAATTCAAAATAGAAACAAGGGTATCTCTGATAAAATGCATAACAGAAAAACATGTATTGTGGAATATATTGTTTGCAAGTTTAACTCAGTAAAGTTACCTGAATATTTTATGTCCCCCAATTTCTTATAACACGATTGAGAAGAGACAGGTGCAATTCATCATATTACAGGCTCGTAGCCAGCTTTTGACTGAGGGAAGGGGGCTTTCAAAAAAAGATTCCCAGGTTTTGTCTCTTCATTCTCATATTATCAAGTTATCAAAAAATGATATTTTGATTCACAAAACTGCACCGAAACATTGAAAAGTACACGAAGGCAACCGCATTTGCAATCTACAGTTTTCGAAAAGCAGGGTTATTAAAAGCCAGTTTCAAACTGAAGTTAAAAAGCCGGTTTTTGAAACCCAGTTCCTAAAATTCAAATTAGAATGCTTTCTTTCTTTTCTATTTAAACTTAAATCAATTTATTATAAACAAACTATCCCGGGCAAACTATGACCAAGTGCATCGGGAATACAAAACTCCTGTAAATGAGTTATATAAGACAATGAAATCAACACTGATTGAAACATAAACACTATAAAATCTTCTTTCGATTCCATTACCTGTCATATTTTTTTCTAAATACCGACTTTACCGGGAGGAATTTAAAATGGGCTTAAATTCAAAGGCAAGAATCACTTATTAAGCGGATTAAAAGATGTTGGACGTCGCTCCAGTGGTTTATATTTTATGCAATCCAAAACATGACCAAAAGAGTCTAGACTTCCATTTGCTCTGATCATGGGGAATGGAACACAAAGCGGCGATTTGAAAAAGTAAACAATTGAATTCCTATGTATAATCCCCGGTATAATCCATAATTTAATACGAACGGTGGTAACAGGTTGTTAAATTATAATTACCTTCTCAGGAAGAATTAGGTTGCATTGACTCTAAAAGTAGAGATAACAAGTTCAGCGATGTAGCCAGCTTTCCGTCGGGGGGGGGGGGGGGGGCGATCTCCATTAAAAACATGGGTTTGCACAAGTATTCTTTATTAGCAACTTATTGATAACTACAAGGAAGATCTCTCTTTTCCGATGTGACTTAAAAGGTGTCGAAAATCACAATTATAGTAAAAATAGATTATTTCGAAATCCATCCTGTAGTCGCTTATTATACACAGGTAAAGTCATATTCATAAAGAACTACGGTACTTACATTCTTTAGTTGTATTGTTTTATCATGCTTAATAGAAAAATACGCACAAATAGTCCGTTATTTATTTGTATGCTCAGTTATAAAATGAGCAGAGCAACTTAGAAATAGCTTAATATTGTCAGAAAGAGGCAATTATAATGTGTGACTATATTGCACACTTACAGAGTATTGCGTTTGCATATATTTGAGTATTCTCAACTCCACGTATAATCAGTGCTTATTTGTGCTGTTCTACAAATAAAGAGGAGCAATACTTGAATATACAGGGTGTTCCATATATGCAGCGAGTATTGTCTCTGTACTGTCTCTGTTTATATGTGCCGAGTATTTTTGCTGATTACTGAACATTACAAGAGATTCTTACAAATAGACACTGCTTATAACAAAGCAATATTCTCTATTTCATATAGTGATAGAGGCCATTGGTTTCCCATTGATTAACACAAAAATACCAAAAATACACCATGACCTTAATCGACTGCAACCTTAATAATTTCATAATATGACACAAATGGTTTATCTCATCAAATGTGTATGAAGTTTGCAATCGATTCAGGTCATACTTAAAATTAAATGATTGTGCATTTTTTCATCATTTTTTTCCTTAAAAAATGGCTATAGAAAAATGCTCCAAAAACAACTTTTACACTTATCAAAAATCATCTAACTTTGTAAAACCAAAGAATATACTATTATATTTCATTATGTAGTAACATATGTGGATAAGATGTAGGGATGCTTAGGATGCAAATGGATTTTGACAGACATAAAAATACTTCCTGGTTTGGAATCTATGCCTCTTCACTTCATGATTGAATTATGACCCTAATAAGTGTCCTATATATCAATACAGTGCTGAATATAGGTCAACAAGATACTAGTGTGCATATAAATGTAATAATAAAGCAGAATACTCATTTTGAAAAATCAGATGAACTATTTTTTCTCATAGGGAGATCCCAATGGAGAGTGCATATGGTCCTTTGAAATGAACAAAAAATGCAACAAATGTTTGGCCAAACCATTGGAGAAAATTATTATCTGTGTGTACTCTGTATACAGTGGTACCTGTATCAATACCTACTACATATAACACTATTCGAAAGATCATTTACAGCAAACCCCTTTACAGAAGGCACTTTCGAAACGCCCAATATGGTTGATGATAAATAAAGATACACATGGGAACAGTTAATTCAAATAAGATGGTATTGAATCATGAATCGCAAATGTGAAATATTTCAAATATTCATTTACATTATACAATACTAATATATAAACAAGTATTTCCTCTTATGTGTTTTACTAGGTGTTAAACACATTTATGTTTTACTGTACATACTTTACACGACACAGTCATGTTGACATATCCATGCTCATTTCTATAATACGCAATTATGCAACAATGAATACACACTCAGGGTATTAAGCACTCACCTATGTAGAATATATCATGCCATCTATGGAACATATATAACTCTATCTATAAACATCATTGCATAAAATAGGGTACATCTAAATGTCGCTCTAAGTGACATCTTTTCATACACTTCACACTAAGGTCATGGCCTATGAGGTAAAAATGACAAATGGATTATCAGATAATGCTTATCTCATTTAGATCATTTTTTTCTTTTTGGAAATCAATCATGTGACATAGCTCAATATTTTCGTGCATTAATCTCATTAAAAAATTGCTACTTTTAGGTCAAAAATTCGGCCTAAAAAGTTATTGTTTTTGGATTATCCTAATCCCAAAGTAATCAAGTTTTCCTTTTTCAAGGTAGATCATTCCTTCCAATAAATTGTCATTTTGCCATAAAAGCTGAAATAAAATGCTGCATTTTTGGTGAAAATTGCGTCAGAATTAGGGAAAATTGGTGAAGATGGTTGGATTAGGAACAGCTTAAGAGATAATCCATTCAACTTGATTATCATCCTACTGTCATTTATTGAAGACAAGACATGGATCTAACAGAACCTTTTGTTTTTGTGGTTAAAGTATTCTTCGAACTAAAGATATAGCCCTTTGAAAATGGCTTGCCATATCTTACGTGCACCTTTGCCACCGAACTAGTCAGTCCATTTGGTGCCGAAACGGCACCGAAATTTGGCACCGAAACAACGTCGAAAATCAGATTGCATTTTGGGGGTGTACTTGGAGAATAAAATGAGCATCACAGCTGTTGATGAAGAAATTATGGGAGAGCTTTCTGATGTGGAGAAACACAAGACCTCCTGCAGATCCGTGGCAAGGTAACCAATAATGTCCGGTAGAGATTATCAGGTGGATTAGATTCATGTTAAAGGTGGATTGGATCAATCTTCAAAATATGGAATTTTTGAAAAAATTCTTTAGATCCCCTTCTAAGCAATTCCTTCTTATAAGTATTTTGCGATCACTTGGGTCCCTTTGAGGAATCAGACCATAGCAACAACAAATACATACTCCTAAGTATTTGACTGCTTTCCTTGTAAGATATAATAAACTATTTATAACATAGATCTGTAGATAAAACCTGTCATACAAATTGATGTGTGGATGCTCTCAAAACATTTCTGTTATGTTCTGTTTTGACTGAAAAATAATGAGAAGGAGTTTTAAAGTAGCCTGCCATAGGAATTATGCAATGTCTAAAATTACCCTTGGAATGAATAAGATTGTGTTTCAGAAAGTGGGTAGCAGGTACCCCTCCAGCCCACCCAAGGAAAACAAAATTTCATTTTTTTAGAAAAATCCATGTTTTGAAGATTCCTGGTCCAATCCACTTTTTACATAAATCCAATCCACTCAATCTAATCCACCTTTTAATCTTTACCTAATTATACTTGATATTGAGCCTTAGCTCCCATTTCAGACATTATATAAACTTCATGGTCTCTGTGAAATATACAACATTTTGTCATATTTTGTCAAATATTTATTGTACATGTATTTTGGAAGTATCCATCTTATTTTTCTAGAGAGGTCACAGAGTTCCAGTTCTGATTCCGGCCGATTGCAAAGGCCCAATGGAGTACATCGCTAAAGAGTCAGAAAGGAAAAGGGTTGGTGTTGAAAAGAATCCTTTCTTATTTGCAAACTCAGGTATTTTTTAAAATCTCAATAGATGTGATTGTCATATATACATGTCTGATACACCTTTGGGTATCTTGTTAAATGAACACACTTTTAAATTTGATGTTTTAAAATTCTAAACATACATGTCAGCATAAAAATTAAATTGGCATCGTACACCAAGTCAAACATATAAAGAAACCTGTGTATTGATGACCAGGCAATCATTGTTTTGACTTTGTTTTGAAAACAAGTGTCATCTATTTAAATAAAAAAATCAAATATGTCTTTGCAGCACAGAGTTACAAACGCTGTTATGACAGTCTCAAGTTGCACTGCTCGAAAGTGAATATGAAGGCGCCTGGATTAATTACCTCTGTTACTCTGAGGAAATATACTGCCACCATGAGCCAGGTATACCAAGTTGTTCCCAAAGTTCTCTGAATCTTCCAAATTCAAAATCGCTCTTTTTGAGCAACAACATGTGAGCCCAGTACCAAAGGGTACTATTTTTTCTTTGAGATTTGCCATTTTTAATTTGTCAAGCTACGTCATTGCCCATAACATTTTTATTGGTCGAATTCTTTATCACGTTTATGGCAGTCAAAAACATCAGATTGCTGAATCTGCTGTTTACCGCACAGTGTATCTCAGATTAGAATGGTATTTTCACAGTTAACTGAACAAATTCATTGAAGTAAGAAGTAATAGCTCCGTGGCTCTATTTGTATGTACCTAAGTACCAGAATGTCATATCTAGTTAATCATCACATTTGCAACCCATTTTCTTTTACCTAATGTTTTTCTATTTTTCATTTATGAATTTGCAGACTGTCTCTATGAACAACAATCAGTTGTATTGGTTGGCCAAACATCTCGGACATACAAGGGACGTGCATTTGGGGAGCTACAGACAAATGTCAACCGGCATTGAGAAACTTCACATAGCAAAGCTCTTACTGATCCAAGACCTAAACCGTACACAAATATTCAGAGGACAGGACATTGACAAGCTAAACATAGAAGGTATGTTGTTCGACAAAATTAATGTATCTAGTAACTTTTACTACTTGGTACTATATATGTACAAAATTCCAGATAAAATTATTAAATATCATCTCTTGAGAAGCCTTTGTGCAAAACTTGACAAACGACATTTAGTTTTTTACTGGTGGTTCAATTTTCAAGAAAACTGCCAATTGTATAGAAATAGAGTCACTGTACAGCTGTGAATGAGTGACACTTCCAAAAATCAGGGAAAATATTTTATATAGTTTGTATCAATTAAAAATGATTTTTTATGACATATTGTGTTTGCTCAATTAATTTATCCTCAGTAATCCATGCAGTTGCTTGTGTCAATTGCAATTTGCAAATTCTGATTTAAACTGCACTCTTTCAGATATTGTCTTAAATGGTGTTGAGGCCGCTGAGCATTCAATGAGTTGTGTCGAGGACGTTGAGCCTTCAAGTAAAAATCAAGAAAATACATCAGTACAGATGGTTGACACTTATGACGACAACTGTTTTGAAGAAAAACAAGTTCAAAATACTACAAGCAAAAGGGTAAAATGGTCAAACCAAGAAAACAAGGAACTAGAAAAGTACCGTGGGAAGTATTTGCTTGAAAAACGCACACCAGGCTATAATACTGTTCAATCTATAAAGCAAAAGAACAAAATCCTTCTCAGACTTTCAAATGACAAAATTGTAAAAAAGATAAGTGCCATGAACCATAAAAAAAATGTTAAAAAGTGAAAAATGAACCAAACATTTTTGCATTTTGCATTGTTCAATCTATTAAGCAGACTTTCCCAGGTGCGGCATGGTTGCTCACCGTGGATATGATAATTTGAGTCATAAATATGAAAACATATTTCAAAGACAGTATTTTGACAGTATTGGGATCGTTGTGGCAATTTTGATCAAAATAATTATGTAGATACTGGATGAATTAGCATATATGTTACTGTACCTCCTGTGAAATATAATGTGTCTTGTTTTAACATGTGTCAATATAATTATTATGTATGTTAAGAAGAGCTATAGAGGTACAGTATTACAATAACTAGATTTATGTTCAGTTATTCTAGTTTTTGTGTCTTCATACATAGGGGTAAAGGTCGCTAAGAGTATTCTACTTTTTGTAATTTTCTCCTGTTTGTATATGTAATTGTACCTTCATAGTACTACAATGACATATACCATTACAATGATGTGCATTTGCTACCTCTTACTTGTGTGCACAGGAACTAGATACTTCAGTCATTTACACACATGAAATAATGCAAATGAACGTTGATCCATAACCTGACACTTTTTCCCTTTGTGTCAAGACATGAAAAAGTTAACATTGTTTAAATGTAATTAAAAATAAATTAAGGATTTAAGACTGAGATTCTATGATTTATGGCATCATGTCTGACAATTTTTTTATTCTGTTCATTGTTATTAAAAAGCTAAGGTCATATATTTGCCATAAATGATTGAATCGAGGTCTTTTTTACACTTCTAGTGTGATAAAACCAATTTAAGTTTCTTCCAATTTGAATTTAGACGCCTATATTCTTTTACAGGTTATGTATTGCCAAATATACACTGCTAAATCAATCATTGTACTTATCATGACATCACTAGAGAATGGTCGGTCAGGTTTGGTTCGATACGATTCTCGGTTCTTGTCTCTCGATGGGCCTCATAAATGTCATAAAAATTGTTACTATGAGTTGGTAATAGAAAGCAGTTACAAGAATGAATATAAGTCTAATAAAGATTGCACTCTAATTTTTATAATTAAATTTTTTATTATTTACAAAAAGAAACCCGCAGTGTATTTCAATGTCGTGTTGCACACTAACATAGGGTAGACATACTCTCTTCGGAGAAACCAAATACTTCCAACCAACATCCAACTTAGGCATTGTGGAGAAAGGTTCTATTATGGTTTTACTAGCTCTTTGCCCAAGACTTCGAAAACGTTCCGCCATTTTTAAAACACAAGTGTTTCCGTGCGAAATTAATTCACTCTCACAAATGGAATTATGTTCCCCCGAGACATGGAAGCACAACAATGAAATATCCAAGGAGAAGATTTTATTACCCTATGGATCGTTTAAAGTTGTTCAATTGTCGTTAAAATGGTACTCATTCGCCATTTAGATGAAATAGAGTTGTAATTATTTTCGCAAAAAGTATTGCGCAAAGGGGGTGAAGAAACCGTTCTGGACTCGGTACTTAGTGATCAGACAGTCCCAGTAGAACTGTGGGTCCAAAAGCTGTGGTTAATCAAACGGAATCTGACTGACCCTTCTCTAGACATCACATTAGAAAGTGTATTAAAATAAAAACTGGAAAGATCAGAATGAGATAATAAGGTAGAATAAATCATGTGCATACATATAGGATGGACCAAACAATTTTGATGAAAAATCATTACTAATCTAGTATATTCTGTATATAAATAAAACACTGGATGAAAATAACATTACAGTGTACATGTATGTACCTAGTGTGAAATTAAATTGCAAAAAGTTGTGTTAGTTAAGGTAAACATTTTCAGATTACGTTATCTGAAAGAAACCATTTGTATATGCACGATATGCTATTTCTGTTGAGTTAGATAATATATAGTTATGAGTTACAATAAGAAAGTATATGTGTTAATCTATGGAATCCATATTAAAGACGCTTGCATAAAAAAGATTCAAACATGACTGTATTCACGCCTTCTATAAACTGAACAAAGTCAACATTTCACCCGGGTATATTCGCGAAGAATTACCCTGGAAATACGAGTAATATGTGACATCACAGCGGGTCATAGTAATGGCGAACCATAATGTATATTTGAAATATAATTTGGGAAGTTTTTATGTTTGAATTGTAATATAGACCTCAGAGCAGGTGTAATATAGTCGAATACACCCCTTAGGGTTAGGCACAAAAGCTGTTGAATCCCTCACTCCCTTCGGTCATTTGGCATACAGAAAACGTTTGTGCCTAGCCCTATGGGGTGTATTCGCCCAATATTATCCCTGCTCCATTGTCTATATTTCTTAAATATAGTATGAGAATTATGTCACCCGCCCTCTAAGAATTGTGGCTGACTCCAAGACCATACATTGGTAACTCAGTTCATTTAATTGTTTACTGTCAACCACCATTGATGCTTAGGCCTACATGTGTCTTCTCACATGACTTGTGGAAGACACAGAAGGCTTGACGAACACTTTTCCCATACTGAATTCTCTGGATGTCAATACTTTATTTAGACCCTACTTATATGAAAAGTGTTCAACACTGAAGCTAAAAAAATTTTGGACAAGACACACAAGGCTATTTTAAACATGAGCTAAATAAACACACAAAAATAAGGCACAGGCACAGAACATACAGCAAAATTCAGAATTAAACATAACTTGGCCTGTTTAATTATTCATTGTTAACCATATGTTATGAAAACAGTAATATTAACCTTACTTATCTCATGAATATATTACACTTCAAGTATGAAATTTATCATAAGGCTGCATCCTTGAGATAAACCCATAGAGACACACAGGGAAACTTTATAACCACAAAGGAGAGGTATCATCAAAGGTATCATTCGTGGGAAACACGTCCATGCAGACACATAAGGAAATTTCATAGACACACAGGGAAATATTGAAACATAAGGCTAAATAGAAACACAAAAATAAGACACAGAAGGACAGTGTCTAGCTAGAAGTTCTGCTGAATAAAATGTTTTGAAGATGGCTGTTATTCACAAAATTGCTGCCATTTATCGTTAACATGTATTCTGCTCGAGAAGAAATTTTCAAAATAGTAGCCTTATTTTTAAGTGGTGAAACTTGAGGCACAAATCAGAAAAACAATACCATAGTTGTTAAAAACTCGAAAATTCATACAATTTGTTTTAAAGTGGGAACATCGACTGCCGAGTCGTATCCAATGATCCTGGGCCTATCCTAAAATGAAAGCTTTGAATATGTTGTTGCCTTCAAAAATGTATCTATTTTCCATGTATGCAACTAGAATTGGTGCACATACCTTATATCGATCGATAATGGCAAAGGCAAATCCTCCAATGTTTCGTCTTCCTTTCTCCTTTCATCTCCGCCATTTTTTATTAAGCCGGAAGTTTGTTCTCTGTCGTCCGCGCAATTTTTTTTTCACTTTTATTTCAGATTACTCTTCAGTTTCAACTTTTAATGCTTTCTAATAATCGTCAAGTGATATCTATAAGAAAGTTTTCGTAAGAAAACTCACACTGCCAGAGATTTTTTTGATTTGAACTGCCAGAAAAATTAGTTTCAATTTCACCCGCTAGGTGTTTCGACGTCGACTTGGAAAGAATTTGAAAAAATATATGAGTGGAATGTATGGAATTGTAGATTCTAAACGATTTACCAGTTCTACTGGTTGATGAATATTGCCATATGCATACATTTTTAGGAATAAGGAAGAATAAGTTAGACCAAACTTCGCCCCGATAGCTCAGAAAAGGTAAAATTTCTCAATTTTTCTCTCCACAGACCTTAGAGCCGCTTTAATATAGCCATATTACTCGTCATCTTTTTACCCGTTTTTTACAAATAAACCCCAATAACTTTTGCAACAAGGCTCTTATTGGGTATAATATTGTATTCCTGTATAGCCAATTAATTGTAGCAACAATGAGTCAGGTTGCAGTTTACATTGACCCATTTTTGTACATGTACACATAAGTCCGTACCTTCTTTCAATAGTTTCATTAAAACTCTCCGCACTCAAAACCCACGTTTTTGTTGTTATTACCCAGCCCTTTCACTGAAAATGTCAATGCACATGACCGCAAGGTAGTCTCAGTATTGTGTGTTTCCTAGAGCTTGAATGAAAATGCTGTTATCGTCAATGAGTGGATATTCATTCACATGAAAAACTTGGAAAATATTTCTACCGAATTCCATATGAAAACATTTCGTTGGAATCTTACTTATGTGTAATAATACGAACAATATTACAGACTTTTTGTTCGATCAGATGTGTGGATCGCGGTTAAGGATCTCTGTGCGCGGGTCAAGAAATATGTTTGGAAACAAGGAAATGGTGGTGCGCGACAAAAGATTTTACGTTCTCAATAGGAGATTCATGGTTTGAGTGCAAGAAACGTAGTTCGCGGATCAGAACTGATGTTCGCGTTGTTGGAAGTCTAGGAGGCCTGCAATATGCATATGTGTATATCTTAAATAGACTGGACTCTACTGCTTTGACACAGCAACTTCCATGGGTTAGCATGAATGTGTTACATTACACCAAGAGAACTTAACTATTCAAGATATAAACATATGACTATGCTCATTATGATTTGATAAAGGATTGATAAAAGACAACATTTAGTGGTTCAAAAATAGTACTATCACATTATTGTACAAAACAATGATTCTAGTATATTAATGACTATCTCAGAATTGGTTTTTGTATAAAACCAGCATATCGTTCTGTATAATCAGCTTACTTTCTCGCTCCCTGTACTATTGAACAATTTACATTCCTTGCACCCTGTATTGATCAACATTTGAAACTAATTGTACCCTGTACTATGACATATCAAATATTTTAAAACAATATTATTTATTATATTATTAGACTCCAGATGAATTTATTCTTCTTTTACTGGTCACGTTTCTCAACAACTGTAAGGTATCTTTTTAAGACAATTATATGGTCAATTAAGGTTCAGTATCTAGTTGGTGGGAAATGGGGTCAAATTTTTATCTAAGAATCCAAATGTAATTTGTCGCATGAAACATTGTCAATGTGAGTCAAATTGAAGTAATAAACCAACGTAAGGAAAATTAGACTATGAAAAGAAGGATTGAAGTGTGATTATAATTCCTTTTTACAAAGGTTTTAATATTTTATTAATAACAGTGTTTTATTTTCAGAGATGAAAGACACACATCAACACAGAGGGAGCGGAACCTTTTAAACATATTGTCTTCGACAGTCTACC